AGTATCCCTATTCCCACCTTCCCCAACCTGCCCCTCACACTCCAGGAACAAGCACCTCTAATTTCGGAGCCTAAAGTTGTAGGAACAAGAAGTAAAAAATTCCCCAGGTGGGTTGCTTCCTACTTCCACTCCTCAGTTCCCAAAGTCATATACTCTAGCTATTGGGCACTCAGCAACCAACAATGGCTGATGGTTGAAAATGTATTGGGTTGTCAGAAAAGTCATGATGCAGGTTTGCAACAGGTGGCACTAGTTCATTTTTGGAAGTACTAGAATCATTTGCATCTATGTTATTGCTATGTCATTTGACAGCTGGCAGTTCTAGCTTTATTCCAAAAAAAAAATTGAGCAATTTGGTTGAGTTTTGGGGATTTTACAACAAGTTGAAGATGAAAGACCAAATTGTACATTTTTGCCATATTTTACTGTATTACTTCCATAAAGGGAAGAACGCGCATCAAGCTTGTGAAAAGTTGCATAAAGTTTACGGTGACAATGCTCTACAAGAATGTCAGTGCCAATGATGGTTCATGAAATCCTGTGCTGGTGATTTTGATCTCAGTGACACTCCTTGGTCAGGGAGGCCCACTGAGATTGATGATGACAAAATAAAGGCATTGATCAAGTCAAACCCACGTTACATGACATGAGAGATTGCAGAAACATTGAACATCCATCATTCAATCATTCATGACCACATGAAGAAGCTGGGATATATAAGCAAGCTTGATATTTGGGTTCCGCATGAACTCAAAGAAGTTCATTTGATGGTGCATATAAACATCTTCGATATGCTCATTAAACATGAGGAAAACGATCCTTTTTTGAAGCGACTGATAACTGGTGATGAGAAGTGGATTGCTTACAACAATGTGGTGCACAAACTGTCTTGGTCCCAACATGATGATTCGCCTCAAATGACATCGAAAGCAGACATTCATCAGAGGAAGGTTATGCTCCCAGTGTGGTGGGATTTTAAAGGTGTCATGTTTTTCGAGCTCCTACCAAGGAACCAAACAATCAACTCGAATGTGTACTGTCAGCAATTGGACAGTTTGAATGAATTCATCATCCAGAAATGTCCAGAGCTTGTTAATTGTAAAGGAGTTGTGTTCCATCGCAACAATGCCAGACCACACACAAGTTTGATTACCGGTGAAAAACTATTAGAGCTTGGATGGGATATGTTGCCACACCCACCATACTCGCTTGACCTTGCGCCATCAGACTTCCACTTGTTTCGCTGTCTTTAAAACTCCTTGTGTGGTATAACGCTCAATTCAGATGAGGCTGTAAATCAGCACCTTGATCAGTTTTTTGCAAATAAAGACAGGTCCTTCTATGTACGAGGAATTATGAAGCTCACTGAAAGATGGCAAAAGGTTATCAAACAAAATGGGCAATATATCATTGATTGATCTTTGTTCATTATATAAATAAATGACCTTTGAAAAACATAGACAAAATACATCATGACTTTTCTAACAACCCAATATACAGTCTCCTGGAGAGCTGTGCTCCATCACAGAATGTCTTACTCAAGTTGGTGCCTGACTGAGCCTTTGAAGAGGATAGTCCAGCTTTATAGTAGGAACCAGTGGATCCTATTGTCATCTGTCCTTTGTCAAATTCCCTTCTCCATAAAATAGGTCCTTTGGTTTCCATGTAGGAAAGCAAGCATGTGATAGGTTTATTTGGGAATGTTTATTCTATTCTATTTTCTTGAACTATTTGTCAGTTCTTGCCACAATACCACAAAGTCTTAATGACCTTTATAGCAAGTCTTGCTATACGGTAGAAAAAAATCTCTTATTGTTCTTCATTAGCTATGTTTCACCTTTTCATTTTAACATACATATTAAAATCAAACTGTCAACTCAAAACTATTTGGGCTTTTGAGTGGGACTGCATCAAATCTATAGTCCATTTTGGAGGAACTGACATCTTTATAACAACACTGAGTCTTCTAATCCATAAACATAGTATATCCCTCCAACTCTTGGGGTCTTTGTTAATTTCTTCCAATGTTTTATAGATTACTATGTAGGGATCTTACATGTTTTACATTGCACTGATTTCTAGGTATTTGATATTTCTGATGCTCTTAAATTGGTATTTTTTAAACTTTTGGCTGCAATATAGATGTTCAACGGATTTTCGTGTACTGATTTTATATCCAGAAAATTTATTCAACTGATTTTAGTATACGTATGTGCTGCTGAAGTAAGCACTATTCAACTTATTTCTAATAATCTGAACTCTTTTGGATTACCTAAGTGCATAAAAACAATCTAAGTCCTTCCTTTCCAATCCTCAGGATTTCTCTTGCTTCTTTGTACCAACTAGGAGTCTCTACTGTGATGATAAGTGATGAGAGGAGGTGTCTTTATCTGTCCCCTAATCTGAAAGAGAAAACATTCAATATTTTACCATTAAATATGATGGTTTATATATTTCCTGCTTTAAAATATTTGTAAATATTTAGGGCATGTTGATTGCAGCTTCATGAGAAACCCTGAGCCAGAGGACCCAGCCAAGACACATCTGGACTCCTGCTCCACACAACCGGAGAGAATGTTGGTTGCTTTAAGATGCTAACTTTTGGGACTAATTTGTTATACAACTAATGTAGACGGGATGTGTAATCCGCCCCTCAAAGTCCAACCTCAGGTGATGGTAGTAGCATCGTGTGGCAGAAAGGGCATGGGCTTTAGAATTAGAGAAACTGAGAATTCCATTCCTACCATGTAAATTATTTAACATTCCTCATCTCAGTTTTCTCCCTGTAAAGTGGAGATAATAATATCCACCTCTTGGAGGTGCTGTAATTACAAGTGATAAGGTGAAATTCTCAGGATAGTCTGGCACACAATCAAGACTTACATGCAGTTCCCTTCCTCCCCCTTTTTGAAAAGTCCTCTAACCCCTCATGCCCTTTACATATGCTGATCATATTTTCTAGATATCATTAGAATATATTGTGTGGCAGTGAGGTAGAACGTGACATGAAAAATCTTGGAATTTCGGGATATCTAGTTGCCAACCATTGCACCAGCTCCCCTTTATTTTTCTTGACAGGCATTAAAAACTGCCTGTGCTAAACATCTGGATTTTTCATCTCTCCTTGGCTGGGCCATTGCTGTGCATTACAGAGTTAGATATTTCATGTCATTACTAGTTGAGCCAGCTGTGTAGGATCAATTTCAGTAAACCCACAGGCCTTACTTCAAACCAAGCCTTTAAAATGTTTCTTGCTGCTGTTAGAAGTGAACACTGAGGTGTGACATCATCCCCCTCTCCCACTGCCTGTGCTCTGCCATGGGTGTCGGCTGAGACATGGACCAGGGACCCTAGAAGCAGCCAGTGAGGTAGAGTTTAGGGTCAGAAGGTGAAACTGACACTCCAGCCCTCATCTCTTGGCATATAAGATTCTCAGTAAGTTGTTTTCTCTGAGCCCATTTTTTTTTCACCTGTAAAATGGGAATAAGAATACTTACCTCCTCAGGGTCATTTTGCAGATTATATTGGAGGATCTGGGAAAGCATGTGGCAATTAAATAAGTACTCAATATATTGAAAAAGTCTTTCTTGTGCCAAAGGGTTGACCAGGGGGGCAGGCTGGATTCGGATACGGCTTGCTACTCCAAGTGCGGTCTTGGGCCCCCAGCATTGGTGTCACCCAGCAGCTTGTTAGAAATTGTGATTCTCAGGCCCCACCCTGGTCCTCCTATCAGAATCGGCATTTCCACAAGGTCCACATGAGTAGCAGCAACTGAGAGGAGAAATGGAGATGAGGTAGGATGTTGATGACATAGTGGCAAAGATGGGTTTGCAAACGTTTTGGGCTCTGTGTTTGTTGCATCCAAATGAGAATGACTTCCTCTTGACATGAAATTGAACTTCAACGAGAGGACTTGCTCTAGCACATAAACGCCAAACCACTAATCTGAATAAATAGCATCAATTTTATTGAATCATGAATAATTTAAGACTGGTACAATCAGCTTTATTCTCTATGATGTGGGGCATGATCTCCAGCAGATCACTGGCAAATCCAAAAACCTCCTGACAAATGAAAATTAAATAGGGAGAGAGGGAGGGATGAAGGAAGGGGCGGATGGAAACAAACCGTACACAAAATACTCAATTCCTAGTTTTCTCTTTAAAAATGGCTAGAAAAAATTCATCAAAATGCAGCACTTTAATCAATTATTTACAATTTCTATGTTACAATGGAAAAATGTACATCTTATAGAACATATTTCATAAACTGCTCCACTGGAAACGACTAGATCAAAACAGCAAACCTTCCATTTTAATATCCACAAAGTTGGATTTTTTCTTTTTGAAGTAGATTCGCCATGATCAAATCTGAATACACAGAATTTTGACGTTTAGAGCATCAACGAGAAAATAAAAAATGTCCCCAAGATACAACAAAGGTCTAGGCAAATCTTATTCCTTGTCCCACCCCTACCCCACCCCGAACCTTAAATTAAAAGGTATTCCCATCTCATTTATGGCCTGTATAATTCTTGGCAGTTTGGGAAACTTTTGGCTTCCATTGGTAACTCAACATAAATGTTGCATAGAATTTCGTACATTTCAAAATTAGCCTAACTGTAGAAAAAGGCAAAATGGAAGCATTTCAGACAGAGCCCTAAATGAGTACAAAGTCACTTTGTCAAAGGTGAGTGACACTAAAGTAAAATATGAGCAAGAGAAGAAATGTGCATATCAGACAACCCTGCTTCCCGAAATTTTAGGAAGGTCACTGAGTTGTAAATCATACAAGGGCTACACTACTTAAAATCACCATTCACTAACTGGGTAACACCAGGGACACAGGTCTCGGTTCTGAGCCTGGACCCAGTGGGAGGGAAGTCTGTGGGAGAGGGGAGAAGAGAAAGAGAGGGTTTGTAGAAGGAAGGAAGGAAGGAAGGGAGGGAGGGAGGTGAGAGAGAAAGAAAAGAAAAGAAAGAAAGAAAGAAAGAAAGAAAGAAAGAAAGAAAGAAAGAAAGAAAGAAAGAAAGAAAGAAAGAAAGAAAGAAAGAAAGAAAGAAAAAGAGTTTCAAATAATATTGGCAGGTGTCTACTCACAAGGTGACTGGGAAAACTGCCCACGAGGAGAAGTCAATTTTACCTCCTCCCAAATTCACAGTATGAGTGTAAGGTCATCATTGGGAGATAAATTGAGAAGGACCACTCTTCAGGTCTACCAGAAGGCTCAGGGTTTGGCCTGTGGTCACAGGCTAAATATATGGTTTAAAAAATCTTTATGAAAAACAAAACAGAAGAAGACACTCACACACCCAGATGACTCATGAAGGCTTAGCAGGATAGAGTCTGATTTTATTGAGACTAAAGCAGGGACAGTGTTGAGAGGTTTTCCGTTCACCAGTTAGTGGGACAATTTCCCTTTTTCCTTTCAAAGTGGAAGAAAATGGTGTCATCCAATGTAATGTGAGCAGTTTCAGGTCAAGCTCTTGTGGTAACAAGAAAAACTATAGAGATGGACCTTCAGAAATAAAAAATGTCAAGATGGAATAAAAACCCTGATCATTAACAGAGACTCCCCCACTGGGGTCGAATAAAGATTCTCTTTATAAAACAGACACGAACTCAAAGGTTTACTACACTCTGTAAAGAAAATACCAGTATGTTCAAGACACGTGGTAGCATGGCATATATCAGCGATGTCATGGAGACTTTTAGGAACTTGTGCCTTTTCCTGCACAAGACACATCATTGTCCAGTCAGGGTGTTAGCTGGAGACTGATAAGAACCTAAAAAAAAAAAATGAATCTTTTTATTTATTTTTTTCCTTTTTCTTTTTCCCATGGTCACACATCCACACAAATGAGTCTTTTGGGTGAGAAAAAAGTCACAGCAACTTGAGTTCTCCTAATGAGTAGATGACTTTTTAGCCCTGTTTGCTCTGATGGGGGGAAAAAAGAAAAACCCAAAATGGACCCCAGGCAGGCATGACACTCATAAATGAACATGGTTAGTACAAAACCAGTAAGGCATCGCTTTGGGAAGGTCAGCACCGAAGAGGTCAGGCAAGGCTTTTCTGGATGGAGGCCGGGGCTGGGGCTTCTGGAGGGAATGGCTGCCCCCCATTTGTTGAGTTGTGTCATGTTGGTTCTGAGGAAAGTGCAAGTCTTTCGCGAGGTGACCTCACCACCCCACCTGAGGTTGGGGCTGGCACGCTTGAGGTGTCAACGTGCAATCTAAAGCCTTGAGGACGAGAAGGAAAGGCAAGGTCCCGGCTCACCCACGTGCTGAGGGTGGGGTCCTGGTCCATTTTACTGGACGTCGGCGACTAGCCCCAGCCCCAGCAGGAGGCGGCGAGTGTATAGAACTGTGAGGATGGACAACGGAAAACCAAAACTCAGCAGGACCAAACCAAAACTCAACTCCTGCGGTTCTTACTTTCACCAAAGGATTGGTTCTGACCAAGAAGGAAAGAAGAAAAAAATCTTCAAAATCAAAGAGTCAGAAAGGGAGGAACTCAACCTTTTTCAAAGGGGTAATCAGTTCTCCAAAGTAGACCAATTCTCACTGTACACAGTGTCGGCAGAAAAAAACAAAACCTGATTCATTTATATATAAGAAGGAAACAGACACATGCTGTTCTGCATTATAGCACATCTGCTCAGGCATTCTCACTCCTTCACTCACGCTCATGGATTAATCGGAGGCTGATGTATCTGAAAGGTGTGGGTTGAATTGGAACAGGCAGAATACCTCTCGGATAAGGAGAGCACCATTTAAAAAACAAAACAGAAAGCACGCGTTGTTTTTTCCCCGAAGGTTTTTCCCTGCGTTGTAGCTCTGTCGTTTGTTGTGTGACCAAAGCAAGTGCCCTTCTTAGTTAGCACCAGTTCTCTGTTGGCAGGCTGGATAGGAGGGTGGGTTGGTGCAGGTATGGGGGTGCTGGAGGGTCTGTGCGGAGGGGGAGCTGAGCTGTCTATGCCTCCAGCTTTACTCCAGTCTCTTCTGTCTCTGGGCAGCTCATGGCGGGATGCTGTTTGGTTTCAGAGCTTCAAGTGGGGTTTGTGTTTTATTTAAACCCTTTTCGTTTTCAACGGTGATAATCCTTTCCCGAGAAGTATCTTTAGTGTCTTAGGGAGGTCACAGCAACAAGGCAAAACAATAATGAAAAGAAAACCAAAGATAGTGCAGTTCTCGCTGTGGAAGGAAGCAGTCCCAAGGCGGCTGGCCCGGGATGCCTGCACCCAGGTCAAGGCTGGAGGACGAGGGGTCTTGGTATTCCTGCAGCTGGCATGCTGCGACTGGGGGCTGGCTCAGGAGGGCATCTTCAGGGTGGTGCAGAGGATGGAGGCGGAGTGGGGCGAGGAAAGGAGAAGGTGGGCAGGCTCTGTGTCCAGGCCCCTGTCACAGAGTGGACTCCAAGGACGAGTCCAGGATGTCATCGTGGTGGCTGTTGCTGTTGGAGTCGCTGTCGTAGCTCTGGGGGCTGGAGTAGTTGGCTGCCTCCTGCAGCCTCATCAGCATATTCATCTGGGGGAAGAGCAAGGAGCATGAGCAAGCGTTCAGTCCAGGCCACCGCCCATCCTTGGCCTCTGCAAAGCTCACGCCTCCTCCTCCAGGGCCAGGCCTCCAGGGTTCACTCCTGGCTCCACCCCTTACTAAGCTGTATGACCTTGGACAAGCTACTCGACCTCTTTGTGCTTTAGTTTCTTCACTGGTCAACTATGAGAAATAACTGTACCTGCCCTATAACGTTATAGCATGCACTGAGTTAATATAGGTAGAGCATGAAAAACAAAATAGAAGGTCTCCTGTAAATGTGACATTTATTTTTATTTGGGAGGGGGCACACCTCACCTAAGCCTGGGTAAAGATGCCAGTCAAGTGCCCCTGCCTCTGGGATGCAGTCATCAGCACCGAGGACTTCCAAAGCACAGGGCTCCCTCCCACTTTGATGAGAATCAAGCTCATCTGTACTCTAGAGGGCAGCCGGGAGCCACCTGAGCCCCAGCTCCTGCCAAGGCCTTCAGAGAGGCAAAGGGTAAGGAACACGCAAAGCCCCAGAGCCCAGAGGCCTGGGTTCCCATTCAAGGATGGTTCGCCAAATTACCTACTGTATCCAAGCCAGCATTTCCTCCTCTAGAGAATGGAGAGAATAGTAGCACCCATCCCCTAGGCTGAAGGAGGGAACATAATGACAAAATGTGTATTAAACCCTGAGAGTAGGGCCTGGCACGGGATAAGTGTTCAATAAATGTGATCTGCTATCACCATCACCATCATCATCATCGTCTGACTTAAAGACTTTCAAGACAGTGTTCTTAAATCGTCCCTGATAGATTCTACTGTTTATTTGTTTGGAAGTGGAGATGGGGAACTACAAAACGTACTTTTATTTTATTTATAACTATACATGGTATGCATGTATTTTATATTTTATTTAGCAAGTAAGTTAGGAAGATAGGGAGCCGATGGCCATCGGCCAACTGCCCCTCAGGATGCCCAGCAGTCTCCTGAGTGAGGCTGGCTGCAGAAGCACAGCCGCACCTGGGGGAGGGTGGAGCTGAAGTGCAGTGACCGACCCTGTGCCACTGCGATTATTTATTCACTCATCAAACATTCCTGATGTACCCTTAGTACGTGGTCCGGAATGCAAACAAGTGGGTCCTGTTTTCTTGGAGGTCTCAGTCCCATGAGGAGAGAGACTAATACACAAGGGAGCCGTTATAACAGAGACCTGTGGCCTGGGCAGAGCATGGACTTGGGAGGAAAACCAAATACCTAACTTGGTGAATAGGAGTGGCTGGACTGGCACAGCTCACTGCTGGGGGGCCTGAGGTTGGAAGGAGCATTCTGTGTAACTATTCCGAGAACCCAGGTCTTACCAAAATGCCTTCTGTGTTCAGTGATACAGATATTCCTGGTTAAGAAAAGAGTGCCTGGGGGCGAGCCAGCTATTCTCTCCTCTAGCTATCCTAAGTTCTACTTTTATGTGAAGTTATGACCTCATGAGCTTGCACCCACTACAAATATCTCCAGGACTTTGGCTTTTAGCAATGGGCAAAGTTAGAAACGGTTTTTTAAAGTTTGATCCTTTCCTCTGTAAAACCATTATGTATCATAACTGCTGCGAATTAGGTTATGCATAGTAATACAAGTAATAAATCCATTTAAAATATAGTTCCTGTTTAAAGAGCATCAACAGGACCTCAGCTCTATTCCACCAGTCAAGCCAACCCAAAACATCTATTGTTACTTTTTTTAATCTAACAAATCATTTAGTCACTAGGGAGAGAACAGCAAATCAGCTATCTGTTAACGCTGCCACACCCCTCATGAATATTTTCTCTCATTAGGTAATGCAAGTAATACTCCCTGCTGTTTTTCCTTTTTCGTTAGCTGCCAAGGAAGCTCAGGGCTCAGTGTAAGGCATGATAATAATATTTAACCATGGGAGGTTCTAGTATATTTGCTCTCACTGCATTTTGTAGGGCTTTTGCTTTGTCAGGTCTAATTTCGCAGTATGACTATGTATGCGTCTTATATAGGCAGAGAGAATACAGCAGGTCCTAGAATACCGCTGTTTTGTTATAATGTTGATGAGGTGCTTAGGGCCTTAGCTCTTGTTTATATCAATTAGCCTATGGTAAAACTGGTTTCGTTATATGTGGTTTCACTTAATGTCACAGAACCTACTGATGACGTTAAGTGAGGACTTACTGTGCTATCATTGTAGTGTTACCATCCATGGCCCAGGTTTTTCTTAAAGGGCCTTTGTTGCTTTAGCAGTTGTAGAGTAAATAGGCAGCTCAGGCAGTTAAAGACTTAACTCACCTCACTGGCCATGGGACCCCGATTCAGGACCCCTCCTGCCCTCAGACCTCTCCCTGCCTGCACCCCTGATCTCTTGGCTTAGGCCTCTGCTCCTCAGCAAGCTCTGTGTCTGCACAGATCACTGGAGCAGGACAGTACATGATAAAGGTGGCACTCAATTCATAGGGCCAAGAGTGGTGTAGGGACACTTTAGGGGAAAAATCAGTTTCTTACCTTTTGCTTTACACCAGAAACAATTTCAGAAGGGTTAAAGGCTTGAGTGAAAAACTAAAACTATGGAAGAAAATACTGGCAAAGGGTCCCCACTCTTGGGATGGGTACAGCTTCCCAAAGCAAAGTCGGGGCTTGGTCTCCTCTGTGTTTCCCGCACACCTTGCTTCATGCACCAAATACAGTAAGTGCTCGATGAAGGCGGAGCCGTTCTGCGGGCAGAGAACTCACCAGCGGGTCTCCTTCAGCGTCACTAGGGGGCATCTGCTTGCTCGTTGAGCCCTCCCGAGGTATGGAGTAGCTGTCGAAGCCGACGTCCTCAGGCCGGAGCTGCAGCAGGGGAGGCCACTCGTGCTGCTGTGGGCTTGCCGCCCAAGGATAGGTGTCCATCACCCACTTGGCAGGATCCTCCCAGGGAGCCCGCCTTCCATAGAGCTGAAAAGAGGCAAAGAAGGAGGGGGCCTGAGACCTCTTCTGCAGCCCTGACTTGGCAGCTTTCTGAAAAGCTCCCCAATCCCAGCATTATGCCTCCTCTGGCGGTGTAATTCCATCCCAGGACAGTGCTTTCCGTGGCTCTGGAAGGCACCCCCTCTACAGGGGCCCCTGGGATACAAAGATTAGAGACTCCTGGACCACAGTGCCTGCAGTGAGGCTCCATGGTAGAATTATACCTGCAACGCAGTCTCCCTGTCTGTCCCCTCTGCCCTCCCGGAATCCTAGAGCTGAGAGGAAAGAGAGGGGAAGGCTCTGACAGGGGGACAGAGCACCGAGCTCTGACTGACAAAGCCATGTCTTCCCAAGTCATAGGCTGCCTCAGCTGGAAGGAACTGGGGTCACCTAGGCCTGCCCCCTCGTATACCAGATGGGGAAATTAGGGTCTAACGAGAGGAGCCAATTGTGAAAGGTTACAGAGGAGAGCCGAATTCGAACCTAGGACTCCAGCTTCCTTGTCTGGGCCTTTTCCCTCTCTTCGCTTCCTGACTGACTCCAGATGAGGACAATCCGGGCTGGGCGCTCTGTCTCCTACAGCTGTCTCATGCCTAGGCCGCCTCTGACCTTTGTGTACGCTGCAGATGGGCCCATCCATCTCACTTCACTGATGGCTGGCTGCCTCCTCCACTCATGACATACACAGCCTCCTACGACCTCATCATTTTCTCAGGCACCAGCACCCCTCCCGTCTAGCGCTCTGGGCCCATCTGTTGCTAAATCTTCCTTAACCAGGGGCGGTGGTGAGTCTCAGGCCTGAGAATTCAGTCTGGCATTCTAAAGGCAGTTTGTAGTCAGAACAAGTAAGGATATGTGAAGGTGGAGTGTGTGTGTGTCAGCAGGGAAGGGAACACAAGCATCTGGGGATGTTTAGAACTGAGGAAGCCTCATCCAGATTAGGAACATTCCTGCAGGTTTTAGAAGCGTCTCCCTCCAAGGGCCTTCCCCGTGGAACCAGGCTGCCTTTCTCAAGCCCGACTTCACACGGCTGCGGCTGAACCCAAGCCTCATTTCTGACAGCTACTGCTCTGTCTCCATCCTCCAGCCTGGAGGAGGTGATGCTCAGGGCTGCAGAAGAACAAAAGCCGGAATTCAGAGCTCATCAAGTCCTCAGAAAGAAGCTGGCCCAGTGGTTTTCAAATATTTGCTCTTTTCCCCTGACCCCACACCACTGAGGAGTTTGAGGAATTTTGGGGCTCCATAGAAGCCAGCCTGAAAAAACACTCTTCTAGCCCAAACTTTTCAGATTAGAGATGGGGAACCTGAGGCTGTGAGGAGAGAGATTTTCCCAGGGTCTTAGAGCAGGTTGAGTCATCTGATAAAGGGCCCCCACATGCTTCCAACTCCACTAGGGAGATGAAGGTCGTACGAGTTGCTCTGTAGACTAGACACTTTGTTAACTCCAAAGTGTGTACAATGACAACTCCAAAGGGGAACAGGGCTGGGAACTAAGTCATCAGACAAATGTGCATCGGGCACATGCTAACATCATCTGCAGGAACAGGACATATTTTTACAAGCCTCCCTGCTTGCTGCTGGATGTGTTCATGTCCAGGTGACGAATGGCTGGTGAGTACCATGGCAAGTAAAGGAAATATCAAAAAGCTCCTTGGCCCCAGTGCAGAGCCCTGCGGCAGCTCTAAGAAGCAGCAGAGACAGTTGGATAGACAGGCAAATAGGACATTCACTTTCCCCAAAGCAGGGAGGAGCCTGGCACCCTCACTGGATCAGGAACAGGGAGCCAAGACATCAGAGACTAAAAGCTGGGCCACTGTGAGCCGCTGACTCTGTGGGATGGAAATGTATATCACAAACGGAGGAACCACGGCACACATTAAGGAAGAACCTCCAAACAGTTACATATACACACACACTTACACGCACACTTACACACACATGCACGCGCACACACACACACACACACGCACGCACACACGCGCATGCACAAACATGTACGATTCAGGAGTCAAAACTTGCAAAGGTATCTGGTATCCACTAGGAGGCGATGCCACAATTCCCCCAGGAAAGGATGTGCCTGCTGGAGGGGCTTCTGGAAGCCAATGCTGAGGCCTGTTCTCCAACGCTGGCTCCCCATGCCCCACTGAGTGAACCTGGGTAAGGGTCAAAGCTCCTGTAAGTCTTCGTCTCATCTATAAGTTGCTCACTGAGCTTTAGAACTACATGAGCTCATGCGTGTCAGGCCCCTAGCACAGGGCCTAAGAAGTAGCAGGCCCTCAATAGAAGTCAGCAAACTTTCCTTCAAAACCAGAGGCATGAAGAACACACCAGGCTTCCTCACGAATCAGTAGATTCAGGGTCTCCTGGGCTCATCGGGACAATGAGGTCATAGGTTTGGGGCAGGAAGGCACATTTTTGAGCAGTGTATTAAAATGCTAACTCTGGCTGCCTTCCCTGGTCGCTCCCACACTCTTGAAAGACTGTCCTTCAAATGACCTCTCAGCACAAGAAAGCGATGACTTTTCCTGCCTTGCACTGAGCGACTGAGTCTCACAAAAAGGTGGCATGCCTCTGCTTTCTTGCCCTCTTCTAGTTCCTGTTGTCCTGAACACCTCTGAAGACTATCATAGCTATTACACGTTATAGATACAAAGCAGTCGAACATTCGTCAGCTCCGCCAAATGTACAGAAATGACAAACTCTGACCGAAGCCATTACTGTGTACTGCCCCCCACAGGTATAAAACAGCATCTTGTGTCTCCCACTGCCTAGGACTGAAGAACAAAGAAGTCCTGGGGGGGTTCCCAGGTTATTCAACTGCATATGATGCCTGCTAATTACTCAGTGGGGTGCAGAGAGCCTAGAACTTCTCAGGCTGCCTCCATGCTCAGAAGTAAATCTGTCCCAAGTTCCACTTGACTGCTGAGCTCCTAACATTAAACCCTGGGCTGAGTGAGAAGTGAAGAATCTATGCTTTCCCTCCTGCCCTGGTTTGCAGCCTCATGGGCCCCAGGGTCACCCGTGGGGGTTCCTGATGGCAGGTAGTGAGGGCCACGAGGCTGAGGGCTGAGAACCTGGAATTGTAGCTAGAGGCCTGGACTCAAATCCCAGATTCTTCACGGTTTACTTTTATGACTTTGAACAAGTCACTTATTCCCCTCTGAGACTCAATTTTTCTCATTTGAAAAATGGAGACAAAAAAAAAATCTCTGTGTTCCAGGGCTAATGCAAGGCTTGAACCAAACAGATAGGAGAGTAGTTTGTAAACTGTGAAGTGCTACACACATGTATGCTTCTGTTTCTTCGCACTAACTGTGCCGAGCATATGACAGCCATGATTTCATTTAGCCCTTGCAACAATTCTGCGTGGCAGAGTACTAGTCTCCTTTTCTATTGATGAGAGCACTGTGGACAGAGAAGCTAGATGACTTGCCTGTGGTCACACAGCTAACAGGTGGCAGAGCCAGGATTTACAGCCAAGTGTGTCCCTAACCTGAGCTAGACTGACGGCCTCACAGGTGAGGGGTTGTCACCTCATGTCAGTCAGATTCCTGAAGAGGGAGATAAGTACAACTCATCCGGTCACTAGAATACCACTGATTTTAGGAGGCTGGCGTCTGGTGTGCTTCTCACCTGGAGTCCCTCTCTGACGGCTTCCAGGAGATAGGGGATAATCGAATAATTCCACAAGTCGGTGAACCACACTCTGGAGCCATCCACATCAATTGGGCACGACAGGAAGAGCCGGGGACCTGGGGACCACAGTGAATATCGGTCAGCGTTGAACTGTGGGGGTCAGGAGAAGCCACAGTCCAAGGGTCCCTCATAAGAGGAACCCTGGATTTTCTGAGCGACAGCAGAAATACCACCTACTGGCTGGTGGTCACAGAACAGGACACTCCATAACCCCACCCTGGGACCTCTCTTGCCCAGGAAATTACCCAAAAGAGAGGAAAGGCTTTATGGAGAAAGATGTTCACTGTGGCATCATTAATCCTGACATTTGAAAATGCAAACACATTAAATGTCCAAGAGAGCAGAAATGGTTAAGCGAATGATGGTACATCCACATTTGATTATTTGTCAGCCTTTAAAAAGAATGGTAAAACAGAAGTTGCAACACAGAATGCTCAGGGGACAATGTGAAGTGACAAAGAACATACTGTATGTATACTGTGATAGCAACTTAATAAAACATCTACATATGGACAAGGGCAGAAACAACAAGCTTAAATTAAAATGATTATATCAGGATGGTGGGTGAATCAACGATCCTCCCCCA